GGTATTATTTGTTTATATAATTACACTTGTAAAGAGATCTTAATAAAAACTACTAAAATAAGTAATAATAATCATCTGTTATTGAAAATAGAATAGTACCAAACTCCAAATAAATAGAATTAGATAATAGGATTTGATTAATATATTGTTCCAATTTTCAGTTTGACAGAGTACTAGAATTAAAAATGCACAAAACACACAATTATATACATTAATTCATATGAATGTATATTTAGTAGATAGAAATAAGCTTCCTACAAGTTTTTTAAATCTTTGCATAATTAGTTTCATTCTGAAGTCTACTTATTCGCTTCTCTTGAATCCTTGTTTATATTTTGAAATTATTAATCAGCTATTGATTTTCCCAAGCATTATCATAACTTTATATTAGTTATATAGTTTTAGCTTATATACTATCTAACTTTCAAAAGATGTTTTCCCATTCTAGTTTTTTTTATAAAAAAATTAGATATGATAATATGTTTAACAATACACAAAACCATCTCTAATATATTAGATAATATGCATATATTTTTTCAAATTAAAAGAGTCAATTATTATTAAATAATCAATTAGCACAAAAATGTTCTTAAATAATAGACTATCTAATTTAAGAAGTATTATTTATCTGAAAATAAAAATTTGTAATATAATTTTTATTTAACACCAAGTGTAACAAAATAATATAAATAAAGTATTGATAAATTGATAACTAGTGGCAAACTTATAAAATCTTATCTATAGTTTCTTGACAATACATTGATTAAATGCTATTCATGAATGTACATATTTCCAAAGGGTCAAAAACTCTACACAATTAGTATATTCATTCTATTTCATTTGAAATGTCTATAAAAGAATTTTTTCAAAAACTTATTGCAGATGAAATATCTTTAGATTGTAATATTTCTATAAACTTTTTTAAAATAATTGAAAGTGTCAAATTAAGTGAGTCTGTAGGTACAAAAGCCATTCAGACCAGCCTTGACTATGAAATAATAAAGATAACAAAAGCATTTGATGCAAATATACACTTTTGTCTTAAATCTAACAATTCTACAAGTTCTTATTCAGCACCATCTCAAAATGTTTTCAAAATACTTATGCAAAGTTCTTATAAAAAACAAATACATTTGCCTACTTCTTTGGCATCATCATAATTAAACAGAAAGCAAATATTATATTAAGTAAATTCATACACATAATGGAGGTTGGCCTACAATTGAGCATGCTAATACATAAGAAAAAGGATTTGTTGGTAGTTTAAATGAAGTTATTTGGTATATAGATATGTGTGAGCATTCAAAATTTAAAAAATATAGCTGTGAAATTCCTGAATTATTCTTAGAATTCTTTGGTTGCATCAATCTTAAATTATATAAAGGATCCAGAAAACCTTTTAATACAAATAATTTAAACCTTTATTGTCAGGCTCTTGCAGTATATGCAACATTATCATAGATATTTAAACCCTTATTTGATTGGCTTCATAATTCCTATGAAAACTTAATTGATTCTATTTTAAAATATGTTAGTTTTTTATATCAACAAAATAAAATTACTACAGTAAATCATATATCTATTATCTTAGTACAAAGTATAGAACAAGTAACAACAATTAAAATTCATAAAGGCAATTTACAAATAACATTAAGTAACAAAATTAAATACTACCAACTAGAAAATATACTCAAAGACCTGCCTTTGTGAAAGCTAATTGATATTAAAAAGTATTTACCAATGGATTCTATATAAGCAAAATTAAAAATAACATTATAATGTGCTGATTAGATACAAATATCTATGTATTTTTTGTAACATATGAGTTTTTTTTAAACTAAAAATATACCTGGGTATTCATATTACTACATATTAATTTTGCATTATGTATGAACACAATCAGAAAAAAACCTGTTATCAGGCTTTTATTTATATTTTATTTCAAACTTCAGAACTTATCTTTGAAAAGTCTAATTAGCACATATTCTACATATTTCTCTTGACTGCACTCATATGCTCAATGCAATATATTTATTATTGACAAAATATAGTTAGCTTTTTTTAAAGCAAACTGATGGTTCTTTTATAATAAAAATTTTTAGAAGTTTCTTATGAAGTAAATTGCTATGTTTTTATACCAAACTCTATAATAAAATTTTTAAAAAGTTTATTATAGAATAAGTTCATTATAAAAACTTTGTTATATCCAGAGCTGACTGTATCTCAGGCATTTTGTAAATTCTTTGAATATTTTATATTAGACCCTTATAGTATTTTAGTTAGTGCACTATGGATAATCATTAATAGTCATATAGTATTAATAATCTTTTTCTTTACAGTTCAAGAATATATTATATACAAGAATTATCTAATGCATTTACTTTTAATCTTGGTGATATTGGTTCAATTCTGGCAATAATGCATTTAATGCAATTTTGATTTGGAAAATCAATTATAATGCTAATGAAACTGTAATGATTTAAAAAAATACACATATAATTAATAAACTTCAAGCCAACACTCCTTATTATCATACTTGTGCAATAAGAACAAACTATTTATATGCATGTGATTTACTTTTACCAAAAGCTAAACTGGCTGCACTTCATGTAATTTATCGCATGTTGATAGGTGATTTATCTGCATCAGAGTCTGTAAATAAAGCAAAAATAAATGAACAGGTTAGATTAGTTCTTGATTTAGATGATCCAAAAATTACAGTAGACCTACATAAGCACAATCCCAGAAGACCAGGCAAGTATGAAGCTTTTTGGAACATTGCAGCTAAGTTTCTCTCAAGTAAAGCAACAGAGTTTGTAACTGCGGTAGATGAACATCAACATAACACAATCATTTATCTAACTATAGCAATTTTAGTTAATGACTTGTTATATTAAATCAAAAAAGAATGCTCACTAAATATACCAATTCCAAGCAAACAATAACTTCATTTACAATTCTGGCCTAAAAATCTGACAAAACTTAATAGTCTACAATATATCAGATGTTTATCTTTAAAATTCATAGTACAAGTTTGGTAGCTTTGTGCTTATTATCCAGATATATATTATGCATTGGCACTGTTCTGATATGAAAAAAAGTTTGCAATAAAGTTTTATAAAATTACAACATTAGTATTTTTAGATAACAAACATAGGTGTAAAGTTGGTGAACTAGGATATCCAGTTACAGCTGTAGAAAAAGAGAAACAAGTTGTCATTAGCAAAGAATCAATGTTTATAGTTAGTGATCATAACTATACAAAAATGGGAATAATACCAAGTGTTATAATAATATGTGATATTCCAGAATCTATTAATAGAAGTTTTTATGTAGAGAAAGTTTATATTGGATTAAAGAATGCTATTTTTCAACCTTTCTCACCAATAAGACATACAACTGAATTATATAATATTTTACTTAAAAAAAATCTTACTAATAAGCCTATATTATGTCTTTATATAGATGATGATCCTGACCATTATTGTACTTATACATGTATACAATTATCATATATATGCTTATTTCTGGCTTTAGATCTTGATTATTTTGTTGCTGTAAGAATACTACCTCAGTATTTATAGAAAAATCCCATAGAACATATAATGTCTATTTTGAATCTTGGACTTCAGTGTATTGGTTTAATGTGAAGTAAAATGAATAATAGATTAGAAAAATTATTAAATAAAGCAAATACAATAAAAAAGATCTAATGCATTGCAGAAAATGATCTTACCTTAAAAGAGGCACTTATTGAAAGTGTTTAGCAACTAATTTGCCTAGTATGTAGTATTTTTGAATGCCAATCATTAAAAGAAGTACCTTTTCAAACATTTGATGCACTATTGAAAATGAAATTATGGATCTATAAAAAACAATTTATCTAATTGATGAAAACATATCTTAGCAGAATTGCATAGCAGATAATCTAATAAAAAGAGTAAGTAAAATATTTAAAATTTATATCAGTATTTAAAGTTTGAACAAATACCAATTACACAATATCCAATATATTTTATAAAAAATATTTTTTTTTGCTTTCTATATGCCTATTGTATATTAATTTTTTAAAAAATTTCTTGTGTACTTATTAATTTTAACCTTTGGGTCCATTCAATATTAATTTCTTATATGAATAATGCACAATTTGAACCTTTTTCTGTGAGGCAAATAAAAAAAAAAGTAAAAACTGTATGCACTATTTATAAAATAATTTTTATATATGGCATTCACACATTTCTTGTATGCACTATTTATAAAATAATTTTTATATATAGCATTCACACATTTCTATATGCTGTTACATTTCCACATAGTGAAAAATAAACATTGGTTTCATACAAAATATTATTAACAATAATACTTTCTCTTTCTTTTTTTTGTTACAGCCATAATTGAAAGAATTTATAAAACACTGTTGTAAAGCAAGACATTATTTTTTTATTATCAAGAAGTGTAAAAACATAACATATACAATTTGCCTACCACTATGTTGTTTATGTGAAGAGTTTGAACAACTCTATTGCATCCCTGATCTGGTTCCTGATAAAGGCCTTTATTATAAATCATTCAAAGAATTGTATAGTACTTCTACAACAAAAGAATATAGTTCTTTACTTAAAAATACTAAATTACAAAAAATTAAGTTAGGTAAAGAAAAAGCTATTACAGTAGTAAAATATACAATGCTATTCAGTCCTTCTTTGATATGTGCCAAGAATGTTGGAATTACTGTTACTTGTGCTAAGTATGAAAAACCATGTCTGTTATTTAGTGCCAAAAAATTGCTAATAAAAAAGCATGAATTGTTAGAGTTTTTGCTTGATATGATCTTATATATATGTAGAATATCATTTTATTATACCTATGATCTTGCATTTACTAAATATAACATCAATACTTTTGAGGATTGTAATCAACAAAGTGATAATTATAGCAATAATCAGCAAGTTAAAGACTTTCAACTTGAAGTGCAGAATGAAAATCAATAGAATAATAATATGATTGCTAGTTTTAGTTATTTGTATATAGAAAATGCAAGTGTTAGTAGTGATGAGGTTAGCAGTAATGAAATTAGTGATAATGAAGTAAGTGAAGTTAGTGATGAATTAAGTGAAGTTAGTGATGAAGCTAGTAAGAATACAAATAATAAAAAGCCTAAGGATTCTGAAAGAAAATCTACAAATGATCCATTATACAAGCTTTTTCAAAAAGTTTTTATAAATGACTCTTGGAGTTGTGTATCATTAATTGAAAAGCCATATTACTTTGCAGAAATCTTTTTTGAGATGTGCTACCTGTATGGTGACCAAAATGCAGCAAAAACATTAAAGACTGAACAACCATTATGTGTTGAGTATAATGAAAATACTTTGCTAAAAAAGCACTTTATATAGGTTTTAGGCACAACAAAAAAAAAAAAACAACTTCAAACTAAATAATTTTTTTGTGTATACATGAACCAGATTGTATTGACTTTTTTATTATATATGATTAGATCTTGCAACTATCTTATAGTATGTAGCACATTTGTGCAGCCAAAATTTTATTGAAATCTGTTATTTTTTATATATACACAAAATACTTAAATAAGATGGAATTGTATTATATTGTAATATTATAGATATTTTTAAATATTATTTTATATTATTTTATTGATATTATATTAGTTTTATATTATAT